AGCTGCTCCTCTGTTCCCATTTTTTACTGATTCTTCCTTAGCCTCGCTCTAGGGTTTTCTTCGGATCTCTTTGATCGAATTTGACTCACCACTCTCAGGTACCACTTCTTTTATCCCTCTCTTTGTTCGCTCTATTTCTGGATATTCTTCGTTGTTTATCTATTTCTGGACATTCTTCGTTGTTAATGCTTCATGTCTCGACTCCTGGGTCTTGCTTTAAGCTCTTTTATTTCTCTCCTTCACTTGTCCTCCTAGGGGTCAGGTTTCTTTGGATTTGATCTAACCAGTCTTTAGTGTTTCCATTATTTTTCGAGTTGTAATAATCGGTAAAAACCATGGCTTTAGATGCTGAAATAAAACTTTTGTGCTGGAGGAGTACTGTAAGCCCTGTGCCTCACAGGATTCATATTATTTGGTCTATCGTATTAAAGTGTTTATGGTCTGTGATATGTGTTTAACTATTAATCTTGATTAATCTGCCGAGATTAAATTTTTGTTGCTTTCGTACCATCTTATCGACTTGTGCAAACCGATGTTTTCGGACTTTTTTTTTTTTAATTTATGTGTAAATAGTATCATAAATTTGAAGTAATATGTCATAGTAAGCATATTATACTTCCTTAAATTTTCAACTGAGAGCTTATATTTTATGTGCCACCTGTTCTTTCAATCTGGGTTTATGATAATAAGTTTGTTTACAAGTCGAGCCATATCAAAAGCTTTTTGGTTATAATCTACTGTGATGTGTTGTTTCTGATCAGTAGGGTCTCTTACTCCCCTGGTCAAATCAATCCCCTTTGCCATTGTTGTGGCAGCTATTTCTACAATTATCTTATTGGTTTACTACAATCTATACATTGTATCGTTGACCTTTTTTCATGAACAATTTGTTATCCTCCTGGTGTCTTCTAGTAAGTAGTAATTGTATCTATCTCTGTTTTTTTTTTTCTTTTTAAGTTGCCAGCTAATAATTAGCACCTGACATCTTATGTGTTTAATTTTGGCAGAGGCATCTAATGTTACTGTCATGGTTGTTACAGGTTGCTTTGGTATGGATTCCACAGAACAGACATACCAGCATCGCTCATTTTCAATCAAATTATGGCCCCCTAGCCAGAGTACCAGGTTAATGCTTGTAGAGCGAATGACCAAAAATCTGACAACTCCATCCATTTTCTCTCGAAAGTATGGACTGCTTAGCAGAGAAGAGGCTGAGGAGGATGCAAAGAAAATTGAGGAAACAGTGTTCACCATGGCTAACCAACATTTTGAGAAGGAGCCTGACGGTGATGGGAGTTCTGCTGTGCAAATTTATGCTAAAGAATCAAGTAAGCTTATGTTGGAGGTATTGAAAAGAGGCCCTCGCATGAAGGAAGATGGAGAATCCATAGATGGAAAGGTTACCGTGACTGCTGATACTGTTTTTGATATATCCGGAGGGCGCAGAGCCTTTATTGATGGAGAGGAAGCTGCAGAACTTCTGAAACCCCTGAGAGAACCAAATTCATATACAAAGATATGCTTTAGCAATCGAAGTTTTGGCTTGGATGCTGCTTGTGTGCTGCTGAACCCATCCTATCATCAATTAAGCATCAATTGACAGAAGTTGATCTATCAGATTTTATTGCTGGAAGACCTGAAGCAGAAGCTCTTGAAGTGATGACTATATTTTCATCAGTGCTGAAAGGTTGTGCTTTAAAGTCTCTCAATCTGTCAAATAATGCCATGGGTGTGAAAGGGGGTTAGGGCATTTGGGTCACTCCTAAGTTCACAAACTAACTTGGAGGAGCTATATTTGATGAATGACGGTATATCAGAGGAAGCTGCAAAAGCAGTTTGTGAACTGATTCCTTCCACTGAGAAGCTCCGGGTTCTTCATTTTCATAACAACATGACTGGAGATGCAGGGGCCATTGCTATAGCTGGTATTCTGAAACGTTCTTCAGCTATGGAGGATTTTCGTTGTTCATCTACCAGAGTAGGCTCTGATGGTGGTATTGCCCTAGCAGAAGCCCTTGGACTTGTACACATTTGAGGAAGCTCGATTTGCGGGACAACATGTTTGGTGTAGAAGCTGGAGTTGCCCTGGGTAAAGTTATACCTGCATTTGCAGATCTGACTGAGATATACCTCAGTTATTTGAACTTAGAGGATGAGGGGGCAGAAGCAATCGCTATTGCTCTCAAAGAATCTGCTCCATCACTAGAGATTCTGGAAATATCTGGAAACGATATTAGTGCTAAAGGTGCTGCTTCATTGGCTGCCTGCATAGCCTCCAAACAATTCCTTACCAAGTTAAATCTGTCTGAGAATGAGCTAAAGGATGAAGGTGCAATTTTGATTAGCAAGGCACTGGAAGAGGGTCATGGCCAACTAAATGAAGTCGATTTGAGCACTAATGCCATCAGAAGGTCGGGAGCTAGGCTATTGGCCAAGCTGTTGTGCGGAAAGCTGGATTCAAGTTGCTTAATATCGATGCCAACTTCATATCTGACGAAGGGATTGATGAGCTGAAAAATATATTTAAAAATTGCCCCCATATGCTTGGTCCCTTGGATGAAAATGATCCGGAAGGAGAAGACAATGACGTTGATGACGAAACTGAAGAGGACGGTGCTGATCATGATGAATTGGAATCAAAACTGAAGGGACTCAACATTAAGCAGGATTCTTAGGACCTTGATGAATGTAACTTATAATTTTAATCTTGTAGCTCAATTCGTATTTTCAGTTGACGAAGTTTTTTTTTTTTTTTTCCAAGATTGTCATTCAGCTTAACTCGACCTTCTGTGAAAAATGTATTATTCCATTAACATCATAAACCTTTAGTTTCGGAAATTCTTATCTTAGGTTGCTGTGTGACTCCTACCTTCGTTTGTGTGCGTTTTTTATCCCTTTTATTGCATCATCTTTTATGGGTGATTGCTGAGGTTTTGACTGAATGCCTGGTGATGGTAGGTGACTAGACAATCCAAGAATTTTATGTATCTGTTGATCGCCAGGACCTTGAAAGCTTGGATACTAGCTATCAAAATGCCGCTTATGTGGAGAATCTACAAATGATTATGGTATGACATATTTAGGCTACAATTTTCGGCCATAAGGTTACGTTTATTATATCTTATGATCAATCTGCAATATTTGTGATCCATCGTGGATTCTCGAAATGCTTGAGTGCATTCTGGAAAACTGATGATACGATAGATTCATTCTAAAGCCGAAGTAGATCCTCAGAATAAGCTACGGTCTGGTACAGATATGCATATCAAATTATTAAAACCTTTCTCCTTTCAAGAAGAATTTGGTCAAGTAGTATTCTCTAATACACTTGTTTCCTCATAGGGTAACAGGAAAACTTACAGTATGGTTTGGGTATGAATTGATCACACAGGTACTGGAACTTCTAAGGACTCCAATATTTTATCATCTAGCTCAAACTTCATGTCCTTCTTGTCTCTCCCAATCTTGACGTACTCATCAAAACGTTCTTTCAAGTCCTCAGGAAGGTTTGTGCTGCATGTCCATCCCAACTTTACTTTGGCTGCTCTAGGCTCGGCATAGAAGTGCTGCATCATGCACACTCATATGTAAAACATGTATTTTGTTGTGTGTGTAAGATGAGTACGTGACCAATACACTGGTGGGCAAGGCATTCATATATCATACTAACTCCATTACTTAATATAAGATATATTATATGATCTTTATGAAATACTTATATATATATATATATCAGTTTATAAGTTAGGCAAATTAGTTCAGATAAAAATGATAAATATAAATATTTTAAAATAATTGTTTAGTTTTTTTAATATTTCCAAATCAATCAACTGGTAAGACCCGGAGTGGTAGTATTCCATACCTTCGATAAATTTGATGCTATAACCATAGTGTCATGCTAATTTTTGAAACATCAGTGTGTCAAGTAAAAGACGTGTAATTACCATATTCCGGAAGGGGAAAGCTTTCTTAGCATCAATTCCAACAGCTTTAGGGTCATAAAGCACGATGTTAATAGGCCGCTGTGCAGCTTGGGCACATAGTTTGGCCATTCCAACCAAAGTCACAGCACGGTCGCTCACACAGTTGAAAATGTTATGATTCGCGGCTTCTGGTTTCTCAACAGCTAGAGTAAGCATGGAAGACAAGTCCCTAACATGAGCTATGTTTGTGAGTTGCAAGCCAGAGCCAGGAATTGGCACTGGTCTGTTCCTCACAATTCCTGAAACACAGAATATTCATATGTTGGCATATAATGAAATCTACTGCCAACCTCTTGTCTAAGAAATTACATACGCTATCTGACGTTTCAAGAGACAAATAAGAGATAAAGCTTGTCTGTGATTTTCCCACTTACTATCAAAAAACCACTCTTCACAGTCTTTGTTGTTGCCGGAGCCAATCATATACTGTGGCCGGAATATTGACCAGCTGCCAAAAGTTTCCTCAATATATTTCTCCACCCCAACATGACCAGCATCAGCTTTAACAACATCCTGAATGGGAGGAGGTTTCAACTCCGGCTAATATTGCTATTGGCACGCATGAATAATACTCCTCCGGTCCTTATTATAAGACCCAATTTGACTTTTTATTTGGTCCTAATTATAAGACCAATCCATTTTTTCTCTATATTTATGCATTTTTTTCCAAGATAATCCTTCTAATAATGATAGTTTTAGCCAATATACTTAATTAGCAAGGATATTTTAGGAATAACAACACTTATTTATTATAAATAACAACTTAACTTACTTCCTTAATCTCCTCAAATAAGTCAATTGGGTCTTATAATTAGGACCGGAGTATGTATATATATATACTGAGATCATAAATATAACATACCCCTTCAACATGGGGAGGTTTCGGTTGGTTTGTAGATTCCAGCACTGCTGATGAACAAGAATTGCTTGGTTCCAGAACTTTTGGCCCAGTCTATCACAGGTCTACAAGCGTGTATTGATGTTAGGCTAGTGTCTTGGAAATAGCAATTGCATATTCACTCCTGAATATATTTTAAGGAAAACCGGAGAAAAGGGCATTTGCCTTGCCATTTCCAGCAACTATTTATTCAAGGATACTAATTCTCATTATTATAGACACAAAACGTTATTATGAAATGGGATCAAAGTAGCAAGACGCAATCATGCCGAGGAAGACGTAGATGAAACCCAAAGCAATGACTTTCCATCAAAATTTAGCATCACCAAGCAAAGTACAAGAATTAAAGCAACAAACCTCACAGCGTCAAGGTCCTTGCCATTGTTGTCCAAAACCACATCAAATGTTTCCCCTCCCACAACACTCCCTATTTCTGCTGGATTTCCCCAGATTGTGCGGCCTCCAGAGCTCACAATTTCCTGAATATTTTCCAATTTCGCACGTAAATACAAGGGATTCACAATATTCATCACTAATATCACAGAGACATATGCGTTGCGAAAGCAAACATCATGTTCAGAGCGAGATAGGAATTTATAACTGAAAATCTGCTAAAAGGGGGTTTCTTCATCTTGCCGGAGCTTTCTTCACCAACAGTGAGAATAGTGACCGAATGGCCATTACCCAGAAGCTCTTTGGCGAAATAAAAGCCAATCACGGCATGCCCACCACTGTCGGTATTCACAATAAGCACCTTCTTCTTCTGTTCAGCACTAGCCCTCAGAGTGAAAGCAGAAGGAGTGGCAAAACGTGTAAAAGTGGAAGGGTGGGGGGAGAAGGATGGGAGAAACAGAGAGAGAGGAGGAATAGGATAAGGAAGAGAAAGAAAGGCGAGAAGAAGAAGAAGGAAGAGAGGGTGGTAGGAGAGTGGAAGAGGATGAAGAGTGAAGCAAGAATGAAGAAGAAGAAGCAAGAGAGGCCATTGATTCTCGATCCCGTTGCTTCTCAGAGAATGAGAACCAGCAGTTGCTTTTACACAAGATAGAGTTAGCTATATACGTGCCTCCTCAGGTCAATTTCCTGGGTAATTTCTGGATCACACCAAAGAAAGCACGATGGGTTTTACGGGATATGCTCCTACTTTTGGGGAGGCGCAAGGGAGAGAAATAAGGTGGTCAGTGCAACTATTAAAAGAAATGCATACAAATTTAATTTGTTTTTTTTTACCATCGTTCTTCGTCTAAACAAATGAATGTAAAGAATTTAGTTTCCAAATTTTGATTTTATGCAAATTTATTCTTTTTAAATATGATTATTTGGGAACTCTTGTACTATCTCTTAATTAATTAGAGGATCTGTTTATTTACATGTCTACATATTTTATAAAAACCTGAATTTTTATTGAAATACTATAATTAACTTTCGAAAAAAAATTATGAGTAATATAGTCATTTCAATAAATTTAAAAATTTCAATTTGTTATTGTAATTTTGTTTATTTGGGTGATTATTTAAAAATTTTTAAGTTCAAAAATCATTTTTACTGTCATTTTCCTAATAAAAAATTAAGCTAATGAAAAAATTTAAAAATAATTTGTATGTGTAAAGTGTTTTTATTTTGGAAGAATTATAATAAGATTTAAAAAAATTATAAAAAATCTCAATAACAATCTAAACAATTTATAATAATAAGTTACATAATAGAATAATAACTTTTAGAATTTATTTTATAATTTTTTTAGACTCTTTATAATTTTCTTTTATTTTTTCGGGGAGCGCCGAGCAAGAAGTCAGAATTGAGGGATTGGCCAATCAAAATAGAGTGTGGACGGGACAGCCAACTATAAATAGTAGAGTAGTGACAGTAATAAAAGAAAAGGAGCTTCAGATTTCCGAACGTTACTCGGAGATAACGGCAGTAGGGCCCATCTATATTTAAACCCTTGCAATCCTTCTCCTCCCCAGTCTGCCTTTTGAAAAGTGGAAACTATCCGTTTGAGCCTCACCTTCTCCTCACCCTCTCTCTCTCCCTCTCCCCCAGTCACTGCAATGGCAACATCTCTCGACTCATCACCCTCCCCTCTCCGACTAAACCAGGTTTCTTATTCTTCATCATTCTCTCACTCTTTCTACTTTCCATCAGCTTTTTGTGGTTATTATTGTTATTTTGACAGGAGGCCGCTAGTGAACCTATGGCTTCTTCTTCTCCGCCTCTGTTCAGCCCTTCTTCCGATAAGCGTTTCTGGAGCAATCTCCGGAACAGGATGGACACCATTCTTGATGATCGTCATCCCAAAATCTCCAACGATGATGATTCTTCTACTCACACTCTTGCCCGTGAGGTTAGTCTCCGTCTCTAGAAAAATTATGATGGGTTCTCTTCCGTACTGGGAAAACTAAGTAATGGGCTCTTGAGCTTCGTTCATTTTGCAGAGTGAAAAATCTAACAGGTTGAAGGAAGGTTCTTTGCTGCTCATCAGGGGGTTTGACTCCATCGCCCACACTCTCTCTCTGCTTTCAAACAATTTGGACAATGCCTTACAGGTATTATTCTGAATTCTGACCTCTACTTGAGCATTTTTCATGCATTCTCTTTGCAGATCCTTGTTGAATTATCAGTCTCTTAGGCATTTCATTTACAATTCTCGCCCTTTCTTTTACCCAAGGGAGCCAGAGAATTGGGTCAACCGCCCACATTGACCGACATATTCCAGAGCAAACATTACAAGGGTGAGAGTAAAGAAACCGAATCAGAGAGAAAAAGAAAGAAGACGAATCTAAAAAAGGAGCAAAAAGGAAGTATGATCCGAGTGAGTTGTCAGAAGTCACTGCGGATGACTCCCAGAAGGCAAATGAAGGAAGAAACAGAAACAAAAACCTGAAGAAAGCCAAAAATGTTGGTACAATTCATCTTTCTAACGGCGCTTTTGTTCCATGTCTAAAAGCACTACTTTTTCTAGATAAAAGGTACTCGTTTTATCTATATCAGCTTAAAGGTACTTGTTTTATCTATGTCAGCTTGCAGTTTTAATGGCAAGCAAAGCAGCCTCACTTGCCAGAGAATTGAAGTCTATAAAGTCAGACTTGAGCTTCTTGCAAGAAAGATGTGCTCTGCTTGAAGAGGAGAATGGCAGGCTGCGTGATGGGTTTGCTAAAGGAATAAGGCCAGAGGAAGATGATCTGGTGAGGCTTCAACTTGAAGCATTACTTGCAGAAAAATCCAGATTGGCCAATGAAAACGCAAATCTGATAAGAGAAAACCAGTGCCTGCATCAGCTAGTGGAGTACCACCAACATACATCTCAAGACCTCTCGGAATCATACGAGCAGGTCATCCAGGGAATGTGCTTGGACTTCTCGTCTCCGTTGCCATCAATTGCCGGAGACAAAGAAGAAGAAGAAAAAGGAGATGATGATGATGATTGTAAGACGAAAGCATTTCAAACGCCTAGGAGCGACCTCTTCGAGTTCCCTTCACTTGACAATGAGGGCAGTCATGGGGATGATGAGAAAAACTGAAAAATTGAGGATCGTCTTTCTTCAAAACCCTTAAATTTTATAGTAATATATTGTATTCCTCTTCAAGTTCTCTGTTTCGCTTGATGACGAGAGCTATCATGAGGTGGGTACGGAAATTTTCAGGCATCACCGTTAATCTTAGATGCCATAATATTCAAATATTGTACTAGTAATAAATCAAACTTATAAATTATTGACATTAATTATCTGCACATTCATGCGTCTTTTTATTTACACTATATATATATATATACACACTTATAAAGTAAGAATGATCGTTTAAATCTCATGGGCTTTATTTGAAGAATTACGGGATGAAATCAAGTGTTTTGTTTGTGAAATTGTGAAAAGGCAAAAAGCATACATAACTTTGCAATTCAGTCTTGTATTTGTGGTTGAACATTCTTGTGGTTTTCTTTGTTGTGCTTTCAAGGCTCTGTTCTCTGTCCAAAAAATAAAAACAAGCATTTTTTTTTGGGTTTTGTTTTCAAGCCGTGCTCAGAAAATTAAAATGCCTTTCAACCGTTGTCATTAACCCCTGTTATCGGGACTTTCACCTTAATTTTTAATTTAAAGTTTACTTAATTCTAATTTATTTAGTCAAGAAATATTTCCCTACAAGCATAAGTATACTTCTATTAAATGCAAACGAGTTCGAGTCACACTAAATACAGTCACCTTTGTAGACAAGAGATCCAAACCTTAATTCATTAGGAGCTGTCCTCTTCTGCATTTAGTTGAGAAACATATAATATTGAGGTTTTTTCAGAGAAAAGAGGGTTAAAAAAGATTACAGACTCGGGAATCTCGGACCCAAGGCATCATCAAGAAAGAGACTGTGGAACACCAGGCCAGGCCTACTGTTTCCAAATGCCACACAGGCCCAAATCCATCCCGACCCCAAGAAATTGGGCCTGAGTAAGCCAGACCAAATTCCCAGCTCAGCCTCATTTGCCTTTATCTATTACAATCTCCAGTCCTAACTAAATAGCAGAGTTAATTAGAGCCTTAATTTGATCTTAATTAGAAGTTTCAATCTAATTTATTTCATATTTATTTTTTTATTTAAGCAATCCCCATGATGGTTACACATGTTAAAGGATTTTTATTTTAATACATACGATTAATAAAGGTATTTTAATGAAGACAATACTCATTTATTATAAATAACTAACTCAACTAACTTTGTTACCACTCACAAATTAGTTGTTAAGCTTTTATATAGAACTCTTATTTTATTAATAAACTAAATATTCTTTTTTTTTTTTTTAAGATGGCATTGTGAAAAATCTTGTAACCTAATAGCATGAAAATTCTCTTATAAGTAGAAATTGTGGATTTGATTTCGCATGCTACTTTAAACTACTATTGTCCACCCTTCCAAAATATCAGTCTATTAAATTTGTTCGTTAATAACCCTATTTTATCAGATTATTGTATGTACAGTTTATATATGAATATTTCATTCATTTGTGAATTAATATATTTTGATTTAACTATTGCTCTTTTCTAGATTATATATAAATATTTTTATATATTTAATTAAATTATATAAATTCTCATGAAAAAAATTAAATCATATAAATTTAGTCATGATTATTGAGTTGACCCTTGATCAACTATACGTATATGATTGGATTATTGATCTTGAGCCCCTCTGTCTTAATTAGTTTAACCACTACTGGTCCAATTTTCAATTTCTTCAAATTAACTATGCCATCGGCATTTCATCTCTTTGGAAATTTGGGAACGAAGTCCTGTTTGAGACAATAATGGTGGCGAGTTGTGAGTTGTCCTTGCACTTGATACGTTAGAAGCCAAGGAATGAGGTCTCTTACCTTGGAATCTAAGAATCGTTAGTGCTGCGCGCGCGGAGAAGAAATTCGTTGAAACTGAAGCTTCCAAAATGATATCTCTGCGCCGTCCATAATAAAGCACGCAACATATTATATTAACGTAAGAGGAAATACCTTTCTTTTTTGGTCCATCGATCCTCTGCAACTCACCATTGAGCAGCCATTTGTTTCATGACAAGCTTGCATGGCCTACGTGCCCCTGTGCTATCCATCTTGATCTCACTGCATTCCTGAAAAATGCAACCGAAAGAGGAAAAAAAATAATAAAAGTAGCAGCACTACCATCAATAACCTCGTCAAAAGTCAACATTTGAATAGAATCATCAATCTTTCTTCCTAGAAATCTTTGTAATTTATTTTATATATATTACAAAACCATGTTCAAATAACAAACGATGCTTCCACCTAGAACGCACATAATAATGAGGTCTAGCTGGCCCTAGGGTTTCTCCTTCCCTGGTTGGTCAACTGAGAACAAAACGTAGATTGCGAAGTGTATCATGCGAGCAAATTCGATGGCTAGGGCTTCGACCTTTTCCTGAGAAAGTGTGCATGGCGCATATATTCTTGCCTCCCCCGACATTTTCCTCTTATTTCTTCACTTAATAAATAAAAGCAGTTAGCGAGGAGAAGGACTGTGAATGCTAGGTCCCCCTCTTCTTCTTCCATCGCTTTTATTTCATACCGTCCTCCTTTGTTGGAATAAGATTCCTCCACAGTTTTTGCACATATTTGTCTCAAAGCTAACCTCAGAACCGTATATTTGATGTTTCACGTCATCCCCGTCTCAAAATAAACCAATGTTGGTGGTTCGCCGTGTTAACAAGGGACCACAAATCAATCAAGTGATCAACGTTATATAAAAGGACATGGCGGAGAAAATGATCGACGTGATTTACGTCCTCACGTTTTCTTACTATATATCTTATTATCTCTGTTTATATCCCTGTGGTAATCAATGACAGCAATTTATTCAGATGTAATAAGACGGTCATCTGTACGTGTTATCCTTTAATTTCATGGATCATAATTACTCATCACAGATTGGGGCATCTTGTGACATGCATGCATGTAGAAAACAAACACCAACAAAAAATGACTAAGCAGCTTTGCTTTTCAATATTACTGGTGAAAAATTGGTCTGTTTCAATTAAAAGGGCAAAGTGATAGTAGTATGCCACCTGTCATTAACTTAATTATCGGTGATGAGACATGACATTTGTTTTTTGTTGGCTATTAAATGAGACTTGAGCTACCAAGACACACAATTATATATTACAGTTTGAACATGGAATCATGTCGATCGGTGCAAGGTGGCAACTTTCTTACGTTTGTTGTTCACTAAAACCTAGGGTTTAGTTGAATTTATGAGGTTGCATGTTAGTCATTAGATGAGAAGATGAATGAGAAGTGTTACATTACGCAATATCATACAAAGCATTGATGCTCGTGTTTTTTTGTGTGTGCATGACAGATTCCTAGACAGCCAAATGCTGCTATGTATTTTTCTGATTATATTGTTGAAGAAGCTATTATAGAGATATGTATACGGAGGGATGAGGCTTTTAGAGACTGCATGCTTTCGTAGATTTGCTTTATTTGATTCAACAGCTCTTCAACTTGTCGAAGCAAGCAAAATATGCGAGTCCTGTGCAGATTTTGACAGTGTAAAAGTGATTTGGCCAATGGAAAGACACGAAAGGCCAAGGAGGAAAAGGTAATAATGAATCGATGCTCGATTTCTTCTAATTTGCTTCGACCTGCACTAGCCGTAGATTTCAAAGAGCGCGTGCCATAAACTTCATGATTGATGAAACAAAGCTAAGTCAAGAAAAAGGACATTAGATTGACGATTATACTAAGGTTTTATTATGCATGGGTTCCTCTTGATCCTTTGTTTGGTCGGTTGACTCTAAAATTTCTTTATTAGCTTATATTATTACATAAATATCTCGCTGTCTGCTCTAAGAATATTATATATATTCTACAAAGTAGCACCTATAATACGTTCCCACTGTTAACTTTACGTAACTTTCACTTAAAACATCAAACCATTGTTTATCTAAGATGATTCAAGTAACTAAACACTGTGTTTAGAGTTTGGACCACTCGGAATTCCATCTTAGGTTTGGAATAAACTTACATCAGAGTATGTCTTTTGTGTCAGTTCAAGGAACGATATTTTGAATCTTGAAGGAAAAGAAACAATAATAACACCAGAATAAACTACCCTAATAAAGTACTCGGACGGAAAGATGTAATCTTTGTGATTGAACATAACGAAAGGATCAAAATGATGGAATGACAGAGTAGTGAGTATGATGAAACATAGTAGTATAACTGTTGTTGGTTTCTGTGGCTAAGCTTTAGGCTCTGTTGATGGCAATGCCACATCGATAGAATTTCAACCAATGGCTATGAAAAATAGAAGCCAAAGCAACGAATCCATTCTGGACAGACTCAAAAAGATCACTCTGTCTTCTGGTGGTCAACCAGCTTATGAGCAGAACCATACAAAGCTTCCTTTATCATACTCTTACTTCCATAATTCTTGCTTCTTTTAATTTTTTGTTTTCACCTTATCTTTTTAGTATAAGTTTATTGACCAGAGATATATTCCACTACTCTTGTCTCGTGCTTTTTCAACTAGTCATGTTCCCACTGAATTTTCCTTCACTTTATTCGGCTGTAATATAAATCCAATTAAGTCCTTATTGGTAAAGGCAGCTGTCATGTAAAATTGCTTGATAATTACTTTGCATGTATTTTGTATGTGTGTATGTGTGGGCATATGGCATAAACACACAGTCAAAACCGACGAAACAGAGTGTTAATAACCAGATAGAGCGAAATATTAACACAAAGAGGGACTCCGTTGAAAAAGTTGATATTTGGGATACTTGAAGTAGAAGGTTACTACATGTATAATTTACTAAGTATACAAATAGAGCTACGGACAGCACTCTGGTGTTGCCCAACTATATATTGAGATGCATCTTTCCCACTTCTACTTCATGCCCATTCCTCTGTTCTCTCCTACCTTCTCTCTCCTTTTTCCACAGAACCCATTTTCAATTTGAGGCGAACCCAAAGATGGGTTCTGTTTAAATCCTTCTTCTTCACAGCAGATCTCCATTTTTCTCATCGTTTTAACTGGAACTTGGTGAGAGAGTGAGGCAAAAAAAGGGAGGAAAACTTTTTTCCCTTCCCCTGTTGTGCTCTTTCCTTTTGCCTTTTGTTACAGTTAGTATTTGCGGCTAACGCAAATGTCTTCCTCAAGTGTTTGTCAAGGGTTTCGATCATGTCTGGAGCCCTGGCCAGTTGAACCACAAATTCTAAGGCTCAAATTGGCTCCACCAGCGTCCCTCTCACTCTCTGAATCCCAAGAGAAATCCAGCACGAACGATGAAATTTCCACGAGAATGGACAACAATGCTGACAAGGGTGGATGGAGTTTTCTTCTGCCTCTCAAGAAAACTGAGGATCCTCAATCTCAAAACGTCTATGTCCATCCTGCTGTGAAACACTCCTCCTCCAAGCTCACTGGAAAGAGCTTGGAAATGTGCACAGAAAGTCTAGGTTGCGAGACTGGTAGTGATAATGCCAGTGGAAACTTGGACGAATTTTCCTTCCTTTCATCAGAAAATAGCACCACTTGTTTCTCAAGACAAACCTCAGAACCCTGTAGAAGTTACTCTATGTCCAGAAGAATGAAACGTTCAAACAGCTTCCCACCTCCTCTGACTTCTATTACAGATTTGGGTGGGGTTCAAGTGAGGTCTCATCGTGAAGATGGTAGGCTAATCTTGGAAGCTGTAACTACCCCTTCTGTTCAGCCTTGTTTTCGAGCACAGCGGAGTAATGGCAGGCTCACTCTTACCATGTTTCAGACATTCCTTTCTGGTGATGATGAAGAAGAAAAAGTAGCTGAAGATAATGAAGAAGAGAAGGAGAAGGAGGAGGAGAAGGAGGAAGAACAAGAAGTTGCGGGCGTAGATTATGAAGATACTGATGCAGAGGAGTTGGAAGGGTTAAACGATATTGTTGATGATGAAATTGGAAACAGAAAGTTGGCCCGACCAGGAAGGTGCAAGGAAAGTGGGAATAGGAACAACAACGCGATGCCCAATTGGGAGCCATTTGGGTGGCCACTTGAGCTCTCTCTTCTCTCTGTGTGGCTTTGAGCAGCTGAACTTACTAATCTTATCTTCACTTTCACTTTCATTTTTATTTTTTTCAGTTCCCTGTTAGGATTTCAGTGGTTATTTATGATTGGAAGATTGGTGCTTGGAGTCTCAGAATGTCCTAATTGGTAGTTATTATAGTTATTAGTTATATTGGACACTGTCCTTCTATCCTTTTGTGGCCTTTGTATCCGTTTTATTTTATTCATTCCTCTTTCTTTGGTCCTCTCCGGAAGCATAAAACAATTAAAATTAAAATTTAAAAAAAAAAACAGAGGAGCAAGGCAAAAATAATCTAATTTTCATTTTTCCTCCTTCATTTATTGCGATTCAATCATAAGCCAACAATGGTGATGCTCGAACATGTTACCGACTAACAAGTGGACCCAAAACCTGAACCACACTGCAATTTATCGTAATATTATTGCCACTGCACATGTTTGATGTTCTTAGTCACATAACGAGGTAAAAGTGCATTATCAGCCATCACCAGCTTCAGCTTCAGGCAGTGTCATTTGGTTCAATCTCCATTAGACTTAAGCTTAAAATCTTGTTTATCTTCAGGCCCACTTTAATGTATCGTGAAAGTGATGATCAAATTCAAAGTCACGTGACTAAATAGGTGAAACAAGCTGAATTGAAGTGTCCCCTGCAACCATGACGTTTGCAGAAACAGAGGGTTGGCACCGGAATCTTTCTCACGGAATTTAATGGTTCATTTTTGCGGTGAGATGTGATAATGCAGGTGGCTTCTTTCCTTTTTATTTCATGTAACAGAAACAGATAACTAAAGAACCAGAAAAGGGGATTGGAATTGAAAGAAATCATGGTCAAGAACAAAGAGGGTTCGGCAATTATGCAAGTTGCATTGTACGGGGTGAGTACCAGTGCCTGGTAACTTTCATAGGGAATATGGACCCCACAAAAGAGTGACATGGACTGACCTCACAACGTAGGATCGATCATCCATGTGCCTCCCTTACCATTCCTCAGAACCATTTCAAGTTGAAGACATGGCCCTGCTGATCTCTCTCCTCTTATTACCTCACTCCCATGTCACATTATATCAAACTCAGGTAATTAAAAAAGGAGTAGAATTATTATTGGGGGGCCAAAAGGAAAATAAGAGCAACTTGGGAGAAACTTTGGAATATAATTATTGCAAGAACAAGAAGGGGATATGATATGGTTGAGTAGGTGATCGTGGAGTCTGGGCAACCACATGATAAGTTTTTTTGCTGAAACCAAACGTTGTTTGGTTGTTGTTGTTGTGAGCAGTGCACATGCATCACTTTGTCCCAAACATCATGTGCTTGAGGAACCTTTTTGGGGTATACGGGCTACGATGCTGCTTTAAGCACAGATTCTCTCTCACCATATCATATCTCTGTAAGAAACCAAAAATAAATAAATGTGCAGGGCAATCAGGATGTCGCCTAATTTATAATGTCGCATCAAGGTACTGATAATGCCAATTTTCTCTTCCAAAAGATGATTTTGAGCCAAAGCAACTTTGAGATATAGAAAGACCGGGGGGGGGGGGGAGTCCTTCAAAATGCTGCTTCATGGGTTTCCTTGTCGACTTACTTCTGCACCTGAGAGAATCAATTCAAGTATATGTTACATTCATAGGCAATATTGTGATCATTCTTCCTTCAGATCTTAACCCATTCCTTGGCCATGAGATATAACAAGAGGTTGGTCTTCTAATTCTTGTTTTTTTAGGGTCTCTCCATGTTAATAAAGAGTAAGGGGTGTTTGGCAATTAAAGAAAAGTGTTTTTCCACCCCAAATCAGGGTTTTGGCAAGATAATTGCCAAACACCCAAATTTTTTAGAAAATCTTGATTTGACCCAAAGCTTAGGTTTGTGAAGAAGCAAGAAATTTTTGCTGTTCAGAGTAAATTTTGGGTTGTTGGAGTAATAATTATGTTGTGTCAAAATACAGCAAATGGTGTATGACGAAAACGCCTGCCAAATTGAATCCCAAGCTTCGCGTCTTCTCTGAAAATGCTTTTGCTTTGCTCTTTCTGAAAAAAATATTTTTAATCTTATAATTATAAATACATATATACACATACTAACAATTAATTAATTATATTTTTTATGTTTCATTTATTATATTGGCAAATTTAAATTATTAGCAAATTTATCACTTCAAATGAAAATATAAATTACAATTTATCTTTTATATAATTATCATATTAACTTATGTTTTTTGTTGATAATTTGCATATAAAATAGAGCTTCTGCTACTAACTGTCCAAATACTTTCACTTTATCAAAATCACTTTTTTACATAATCTATTCTTTCAAAAATTTATTCTCAAAATCACTTTTTTTTTTTTTTCAAAAACTATTCTCCAAACTATAGTTTGGATTTATCCAAACACCCTCTATAAGTCTATTTTGTACTTAGGCTAAAAGACTAGTTCTATAGACTTGAGGCATATCTTAAAATATATTCCAAATATGACATTAGTCATATGTCACTATCGAGTATGGGGAAAGCTTTTTGAGGGTATTAAGGTGTCACTCATTTGTTCCTTAATACGAGGCTTTTTATAAAATTTAATGATACATTTATAACTAACATCTAAAAATGCCCTTGCATCTTGCCCTTTTCATCCTCTCTTCCTAATGGGCTAATATTATTAGTCAAAGGATAATTTTAAAATTTTATAAAAAATGTTAATATTTAACTAACCTTAACTGATTTTTTTAATCACCACAGGAAAAGTAACTAGTAAGACTTTATATATAAAAAGGATTACAGTGATGATGCATTATAAAGGGCATTTGACTTTTGGAGGAATGGGATTGTCATGGAGGTGATGATTTAGCATCCACCAGTAGGTAGCTAACATAATCTGACAAGGATCCAACGTGGTACGACGGTTTCAATCCTGCAATGCCATTACCATATTACACATATCTCTAAGGTGCTGGGATTTAAATACTTTTCTCAGGGGATGCTGCTGATTCGTTCTCCACAGACATCATGGAAACCTGAAAATGTTGACCCCCAAGAAAAAAGAAAAAATTGAGTCAACCTTCAGTTACATTATTACAAGTCGGAAATTAAATGACTTGAAACAGGAACGTCCCTCTCCTTCTGATTATTATGAACACAAATGAAAAAGGATAATTAATCTCAATCAATGCAATATATCCTATAACAACCCCACGAAAGCGAGCTAGTTTTGTTTGTACCGACCTATTTGTGCACCATCACTAGCAAATGAAAAGGCCTTATCTTTTCGGATCAAAAATGAACCCCAAAATTTTGTCCACCCAACCAAGGACACAGACGAATGAAACACAGCCCCACACTGAGATAAGACAACTCACATAATTGGGATCCAATTTGCCCCTCTAGTCATTTAGTTTTGAAACACACTACTCACATTTCGTATATAGCCCCCCCTCTCTCCTCCCCCTTTTGTCTATATTATTCTGAGTCATATATAGAAAATTGGTAATATCTAGGTACGTGTGTGTGTGTATAAATATATCTGGTGTGGACTTTTCCTTGTCCATGTGTGGATAAAAAGCAAAGACATGCACCACTCAAGCAGGACGCGTTAATGGTGCCGACGAGGGCCTCTCGAGTGCTCAACAGAACATCCTAATTCCAAGACTTTGGATATAGACGAACGTCACAAGCCCCATCCATTTGCTTGCCTAATTTCAAGTACTGAGAATTTAAAGAACACTGAATCACACACACACACACTCACAAAATGTAGCCGGCCAAGTTAAAAGCATGGTAGGGTGGTGGGGGTGTTTGGAATTGATAGAAGCGGGTGCATGTAAGCCGCGGAATCATGAACGTGTGGGGAGACAGAGGAGAGCAGGAGTGTGTGATGATGGGGAAAAGAAGATAAGAAGAAGCAGATATGTACAAGGAGGACAGGGCCCACGAAAGAGGGTGGCTGTTAGGGGAAGGCCACCACAGTTCATGGTGCTCCATCGTCTTCATCACCACGAGGAGGAGCTGGCGGTGAGATGGTGGTTGTGGTTGAGGTTCAGCTTTTTAGGCAAAACCGCGTTTTCAACCAGATTTTGATAACCATTCTTTTTGGATACACACCCACACAAGTTGATGATTTTGATTAGTGTTTTGGACTTGGTAAGAAGCAGAGTGACCCCATAAGTGCCTAAATTAATGGAATTGTATGAGTCTGTGTTGGTTGGTGGATTGGGTTTGGCCGAAGTCCATTTTGATGAGTGGGACTTGTTAATTAATTAAGTAAAAGTTTGGGGTTTAAAACCGTAATATTCATTTTGTTTTTGAAACTGAACGTTGTTGCAAACTCCCTCCGTGGGCGGCGCGTGGCTTACCCCATTACGCAAACCGCCATCAAGATGGGAGAAGCTAAAATTTTCATTTTGCATGAATTTTTTATCCGAAAAACTTCTAGGATCATGTGAAGACACATAAAAGCATTATTTGGAGGCATAATTTATTTGTAAAAATTTCTAAATTTGATATCTACATTTTGATATAATATATTCTTATTTTTATTAAGTCTGGATCTATTTATTATAAGATCTTCAGTGCATATATTTATATTTTTGTTCATGCATCTAAAAATCGTAAAATAATTATAATAATTCAGAGTAGTAGTTTGGCATAGGCTAAAATGAATCAAGTTTCTAATAATAACACTAAACAATTCAGGGTATTCTTCTTAATGGTAATTCTGCAGAGGCGCCTGTTTCAGAATATAGACATTTTAGTGAAAATTATTCTCATGAACAAACTTTTGAGAAATATAAACTACTCAGTAAGGGAGATCCGGAAACTGGTCCCAGCAAAATGGTTAATGATCCGAGCAAAATAGAGCCAAATCCCAACAAAGTTGAAATTGGTAAATATGTAGAAGGACGATCCAAACCTAGGATTTTTACGACCGACCACGAGGGAACATTATTTCTCTCACCTCCTGGAATTGCTCTTTCTAATACCATTTCCCTTCCCATAAACTCTGCTAAATA